TGGTGCAGGGTCAGGTCATGTGGGATGCTGGTTCATGGTCAGGCTGTGTGGGGTGCTGGTGTAGGACCAAGACGTGGGGGGGTGCTGGTGCAGGACCAAGCCAGATGGCCTGTATCCACGTCCTGAAGGGTATGGAGTTGTGCGTGGGTTTGTAGCCAGGACTGTCAGCCTGTGGGTGCCCGCCCGTCTTGTGAAAACAGTTCTTGGTTTTGTACTCCACTGGGGTTTCAAAATCTGCCTGCATCTCAAAGCTTGCTCAGAAGTGCTGTTGTTGACAGGTGGATTCCAAGTTGCTGTTGAGTCAAGATACATGTGGGGGGACATCTTACTCAGAACTGTTGCTGACATGATTGTTCTGCATCCTTCTTAAGACATCTTCTCTGCTTGGCTTCCTGGACACCACATTCTTGGTTTTCCGCTATTTCTCTGTTTAATCATGAACAGTCTCCTTTGTGGCTCCTTTTTCAAACCACAAATGATAGAGTATCCCTCAACACTTGGCCCAAATTTATTTCTTCATTTTATGAGCTTCAGGCTGGCATGTCCACCTACATGTTTGAATCTCTACTTGACTATAGTGGGTATTTCAGGGTTAATATGACCAAAGTAAATCTTTTCTCTTGTCCATCATCCCTTGGATTTGTTCCTTGTCTGGTCTTCCCTAGCTCTGTTAACGGCCCCCACCTGTTAAGGTCAAAAAGTTGACTCTGGGTAGGCATCATCCCAGTTTTTCTCTTTACTTTGTATATTTAATCCATGGAGGTCTTTCCATCTCCTGCCTTCATACTGTGCCGCAGAGCTCGGCGCCCCTGCCCAGCACGACCGTCCACGTGCCTTCATTGCCTGTGCCCCACCCAGATCTCAGTGCCCCCGTCCACCTGATGGAGACCTGTCATCATTGTCTGTCATAGTGTCCTGATTGGTCTCCTCATCCCATCCTACCTCATGAGAGTTGATCACAGAGCTGCCAGAGTCACCTTTGGGAAAAACAAATCAAATTTCATCTTTCTTCTGCTTAAAGTGTTTGCATAACATTCTAGCACATAGTAAAATACAAATGTGCAAGGCTCTACATGATCTGGGGATCATTGTATCTCTTGACTACTTGTCACTTATACACTTCTTGTATACATTGAGATGATTTTTGTCTTGTTTAGGGCTTTTACGGTTGCTTTTCTGTTTGCCTAGAGATTTTTTTCCAATACTCCTGGAGCTCCTTCTTCTGGTTCCCATGTGTGTTCTGGTGTTACCTTCAGACAGCTTTTCCCCAGATGTTTGAACAAGGGAGTTGTTATTATGCCAGTTCTCCAGTAGGTGGCAGTCAGGTTTCTTTGTAATTTTCACGCAAGTGTCCCTGTTCCCTGGTAATGCTTTCCTGGCCACCCCCCCCCCCATCATTTCCATTGTCTACCTGCCTCCTAGTTTATCTTACTCGTTTTCTTGTTTTCCACACCTGTCACTGTCTGATATCACATTACTTCTTCACCCACATTTTACATCTTGAGACATATTTTGCACAAACTGGTCTCCCATGTCACTCTCCTTCCCATATTGTTCTGATTCGTCTGTTCACCTCTGTAGATGCTGTTTATCCTTCAAGTCCAAACTCTGATGCCATCTTTAATGAAGTCTTTGTTGATCCCCCCCGCTTTCCTGGACTGTACCTACGTTTGTATAGTGTATTGTTCCCCAAAATGGCCGTGCCTCAGAATCATTTCGGGGATTTAAAAAAGACATGAATTCCTGAGTGCTGTCCTTAGCGAGTCTCTCATCAAGTAGGTTCCAGGACACAGCCCAGGAAGTGATATTTTGGAAAAGTGTATTACACTTGTTATAGTCTCACTTGTTATTACAGTCTCACTTGAACCTTCTTGAGTTGATACTTTTGTTGGAATTATAGGTAATTGGTGCATATAGCTCATATCCCGTACCAGGATATATGCCTGGTAAGGGACATACTGTTTTTCTCCGTATTTTTATGTTTGTGGAACTTACGATTGGTAACCTGTCTTTTCAAATAGTTGTTCATTTTGGGCCTGGGGAAAATTCCTCCGAAGATGCCGTCATGATGAACACACCCGTGGTGAAAGCGGCCTTGGAGATGGGCTTCAGTAGAAACCTGGTGAAGCAGACCGTTCAGAGCAAGATCCTGACGAGCGGGGAGAATTACAAAACAGTCAGTGATATTGTGTTGGCACTTCTTGATGCTGAAGATGAGACCAGAGAAGAAGAGAAGGAAAGACAAACTGAAGAGTTGGCATCAGGTATTGGGGAGTGTTAGTCACCTGCCTTATTGCCATGAGGATCCTGGGACTGGGTGACCCGATGCAGGCCTACCCGCCTCTGCTCACTGCTGGCGGCCGCGCGTCGTCTCCTTCTGCCCTGTGGGCTGTGCTGACGATCATTGACTGTGGCTTTCTAGGCTTTCTAAAATATGTTTATCTTTCAGTAACACCTGAGACTTAGGCTAATCAGAGGATCTTAGCATCACTTTTCTTGAGCCGTATTGCTTTTCTTCTTGATATAGAACAATTTTAAATTGAGAAAGGAAGATTTTAAAGTTGAGTGCAGGTTGTGTTTTTGTTTTTTTTTAAGATCACCTTCTTCAAATCGTATTCTTAAAGCAGTATTTTTTTTTTTTTAATTTTTTTTTCAACGTTTTTTA